CTACGAGGCCGCACACTCTCGCCTCACCACGACGGGTGCGCACGTCAGCATTCGAACTCCGGCTGATTTTAAGAAGCTGCTGAACCTCGTCACGAGCAAGGATTGGACACCGCCCACGCGTCTTACACACTTACGGCGACAATTCCAATTCAGGGCATAGCGCAACCCACGCAGCGCCTTTTGCATGCCATCGAAGACGCAGGGCGTGCTGCGTCTCGAACCTCTGTTCGTCATATTAAATCGCTTGAGCGTCGCACGTACCGCCTTGGTACGTACAAAGACCTCGAGGTTGTGATCCTAAACCCAAGGAGATCCCCGGTGGTCCTGAGAGGTCCCCAGGAGGTCCCAGGAGGTCCCCAAGGACCCCCTGCGGCGCCCTGAGGCCCACAAAGGCCAAAGGAGCCTCGAAAGCTCCTCCCTCCCTCACTCCCTCCACAGACATGCCATGTCCTGATATGCTCAATACGCAGTCCCCAGAAGTCCCCCCCCTTCCCCAACCCACCCCTTCCCCACCCATCCCTCTGAGCTCTGAGCCGTTGCTTGAAGGTCTTGGGGCCCGGCAAGGGCCCCCAGGAGCCGAAAACGACAAAACAACTCCGTCCTGTTTTTTGACGACGCAAGCATGTTTGGGTCCCTCGTTCCTCCTGAGGAGGCCCAGGCGAGCGCGCGTCGAAAGGACCCCCCCCAAGAGAAAAGCCGGGAGTGGCACGGCGCTCGCGCGGCCGCCGCCCCGCCTCGGGACAGCCCCCCCGAAGCGAGAGAGGACCCCGAAGACAGCAGCCTCGCGGAGAAGGGCAGCGCCGTCCCACATCCTTGGCGAGGCGAACCGCGCGCGCGCCCGCGCAAAAGTCCCCGCGACCGACCTCGCGGTGCGGAGCGCGGCCACCATGCGCCCGCGAGCGGGGCCGGCGCCGAAGGCCTCCGTGGCCTCCCCTTGGGACAAAAAAAACGTCCCAAACTATGTTTTCACAATTTTTGAACACTCCTCTTGAAGAAGGACAGGCACGACTTAAGGCCGGGAGCAGGGCGGCCAGGCCCAAAAACTCCACGGGGAGCATGGGCGAGCTCGGGTCGAGGCGAGGTCTCCCCTGAGGCTATCTGGGGCCCGCGGCGGCACCCCCGAGATGACGAGGCGAAGAGAGGAGGAGGAGGGGGAGGAGGAGGAGGAGGAGGAGGAGGAGGAGGAGGAGGAGGAGGAGGAGGAGAAGAGAGGGGAGGAGGGAAGGCTTCTCAGAAGGAGGCCGCTCCTCAGAAGGCGACGGCCTTGCATCCAAACCGGAGGCCCGCGCCCTCTAAGAAGCAGGGGGGCCTCTAAGAAGCAGGGGTGCCTCCCCCAGAATTACCCCCCTCTGCGCGTGGCCGAGGATTTGTTTTTCTATCATTCGCGGTGACGCCCGTGGCTCGCCCTGCCTCCCCCCCACCCCCCACGCTTTGGTCCCAGCACGCCGACCAGGCATAACTGGGGGAGCTGTGGTCCTTACCCCCCTGGCGGAACCCATCGCATCGACGATCTCTCGCGAGAGGGGTGTCGAAATCAACGTGTCCCCCGGGGGGGTAATGACCACAGCTCCCCCAGTTGTGGCTGGCCTGTCACGCTTCGCGCCGGCGCCGTGGGCAGCCCCGAGCCCCGCAAGAGCGGGCACACCGTCGTGGGGAAGGCGTCAGCGCCTGACTTCTACAGGGGCACCAGGCCTTCGGGCAGAGGCCAAGGAGGAGCATGCTGACGGGTTCCCAACGGCGGCGCGTCATCGATATATCATGTCGGGCATGTCCTCCTACAGGCGGATTCTGGAGGACTAATGTTTTAAAGAGTCAAGAAAATCCGCCGGCCCCCTTGTGGGGCCACCAGGCTGCGAGGCGCGTGATTCGCAGTTTCCTGTACCACTTGTAATTTCTAGTTTCCAGTGTTACAGTTCTGCTTCTTGCTGGTTACTGTAACTAGTTGACTTCTTGCTGGTTACTGTAACTAGTTGATTGACCGCGCGAGGGGGGGGGAGGCCCAAACAAGATTTTCCAGCGTCCCCTGGGCGCGTTGTCTGAATTACTGGGGGGCTCGAAATCGACACCCCTCACGCAGATCCGCGGGGTCAGGGTCCAAAAACACACGGGATTTGCCACATTTCTGAAATTCGGTGCCACCCCTCACGCATATCCGCAGGGTCAGGGTCCAAAAACACACGGGATTTGCCACATTTCTGAAATTCAGTGCCACCCCTCACGCAGATCCGCGGGGTCAGGGTCAAAAACACACGGGATTTGACATTTCTGAAATCCGGTGCCACCCGTCACGCAGATCCACAGGGTCAGGGTCCAAAAACACAGGGGATTTGCCACATTTCTGAAATCCGGTACCACCCCTCACGCAGATCCACAGGGTCAGGGTCCAAAAACACACGGGATTTGCTACATTTCTGAAATTCAGTGCCACCCCTCACGCAGATCCGCGGGGTCAGGGTCCAAAAACACATGGGATTTGCCACATTTCTGAAATTCAGTACCACCCCTCACGCAGATCCGCGGGGTCAGGGTCCAAAAACACACGGGATTTGCCACATTTCTGAAATTCAGTGCCACCCCTCACGCAGATCCGCGGGATCAGGGTCCAAAAACACAAGGGATTTGCCACATTCCTGAAATTCGGTACCACCCCTCACGCAGATCCGCGGGGTCAGGGTCCAAAAACACAGGGGATTTGCCACATTTCTGAAATTCGGTGCCACCACGCACATCCATCGCAAGGCGTGGTAACCCAAACTGCGAGAACTCCCTTGGCCCTTTCATCGCAAGGTGTGGTAACCAAGCCCTTAAACCATACACGCCTTACCAATCGCCAGGTGTGGTAACCCCTCTTGTGATCAGTTGGTTTTGCTGATTGCGATCGGCTTCGCATGAAGTTTCGATACTGCTTCACGACAGCGCCAAGGCCTCATGACTTAGCTCTTCCATGGCCCATTCTCCGAGAGAGGGGGCCGGCGGCAGGGGGCGAAGCCCTTACGGATCATGAATAGTCAAGAGGGCACAAATAGTGAAGAGGCCTCCTGTAGAGGGACATGCCCGACTTGACATCAGCAACCTGCTTCCATCTCGAGAGATGGCCTGGCCTGGCCGGTGGCCGCGTCCAGCGAGACTACCCTGACATGCTGCCCAGCCAGCTCGGGGTGGTCGTCCAGCACGATGGCGTTCGCGCCACGGACCAGCCACTCCTGCAGCGGGGGGGGGGGCGGGCGGCCAGGGGCAGAGCCCTGGAGCCGGAGCGGGCGGAGGCCACGCACCGAGGAGAACGGAAGCTGAGGCAGGGCATGAGGGGCAACGGCTTGGGGCGGGACCGGCTCATGCGGGGGGGGTCGAGCTGTGGCATCGCCGACAGATTGGCGCTTGATCGGCAACAGGGCCCCGAGGGAGACGCCGCACGCTTCTATAGGAGGGGTGGGCTATCGGAGATGCATCGCCGATAGAACGGCGACAGGCCCCCAGTGGTGAAATCGCGTGTTGCTGGGCGGGGTGGACGATCAGGCCCTATATCGGCGATCAATGGTCCCCCCTAACGTTGCCCCTTGGCTTCTGGCCCAAAACTCAGACCCATGATTCAACTCTACGGCGGACGTTCGAAACGATCCTGGAACCCCCGGAACGCTCTCGGCGAGGTGCAGCCTCTGGAACGCGCCCCAAGGCTGGAAAACCGACGGGAACCGACGAAAGCATCCCTGAAAATCTCCTCGAACCTCGATTCCGAGAAAGTCGTCCTCTTCCCCCCCTTTGAGCCTCTCCCCCCTACAACGTTGCCCCCCGAGAATAGCCGGGAGCGCGCTGGCGCGGGCGGGGGCAAGCGAGGCCTCGGCAACGAGCACAGCCGCCCTCTCGCGGTGCCGGTTTGGTGCCCGGTGCTGGGGGCAGCTTCGCCCAACCCCGCCATCAAGGCTCCGGTCGGGCGTGTCCTCCTACAGGCGGATTTAGGAATAAAGAAATAAGCAAAACATGTGCCCCAAAATAATCAAATGGCCAAACAAAAACGTCCCCAGATTATGTGTTCAGAGACTTGAATTCATATACATATATATATATATATATACATATGCCTATATATGTATATATATATGTATATATGTCTTCCCCCTGAAGAGGGACGTGCCCGAGCTAAAACAAGGCCCTCGTTGAAGGAGGGCCCATCTCCCGAGCACCGATTTGTTGCCAATGGCAGCCCCTCCGGGCAGAAAGATGCCCTTCGCTTCCCTGGAGCTGCCTCTGCACAGATCGAGGGCCGTCGGCGACGAGCGGCGCACGCACGCAGGCCACCGCGCGGCAGATCGGCCACGGTGCCGTCGGCACCCATCGGAATGCCCCAGGACTCGTGCAGATGTGTCACCTAAAAATGCCCCGCAGAAGCCCACATTTGATTTTTTTACGATGGGGCTGCGTGCGTGCGAAAATGTTCGTTGTCAGCGGCAAACGCAAATTGCGCGTGCCAACCGAAGTGAGGAGCACTGCCAGCCCGACTCCGCAGGATCGAGGGCGGCTTGGGGCGGTCGCAGGATGTGGGTGTCGCAGGGATGCAGAATTCCTGAGGGCCCAGACCACCAGCTTGCCGGAACTCTTGGGCGCTCCCAGCGCCCGGCCTGGGCGGATCCAGCGCTGCGTGAAGCCAGACCTGCACAGACCGACGCCGACGTCCCCCGAGAGCCTTCCAAGAAACGGCCACGAAGGCTGGCGAGCCTTCAGCAGCCCCCAAGGGGGCGTCCTGAGGTCCCTGGGTGCTGAGGTCCCTTGGGGGCCGTCTCGGAGGACCCCGGGGACAGCCCAAGAGGCTCAGGTCGAAATCGATCAACCTCAAAGAGTTTCAACGATTTGTGTGTACTCATCGTTGTCGTCTTCAGGGTAGCAAATGCGGCCCCAGACCCTTTTCAGACCCACCCACGAGGGCCTCCGAGGCCCTCAAGAGGAGGCCCGGGAGGCTACCAACGGGCCCCCAAGAGAGGGGGCTGGGGCTGGGGCTGGATCCCCCTCCTCCGGCGCGCAGGGGCACACCAGGGGCGCCAGGAAGAGCCCAGCAAGATGACGAAAAGAGGAGAGCTGAAGGCCGACTGTCGTCAATCGTCTCGAGGGAAAACCAGAGTCCACTTCTCTCGCGGATCAGAAAGAGCACCTTCGCATCCTTTCGAGCTGGAGGCGCCTGCTGCCATCTTGTGAGCACCGTCCTGGTCCTGGATCCGGGGGAGTGCTGCCTGTGCGTGCTTCCGACGAGCTGCCTTGGGAACTCCATTTGTCTTCGGTGCTGCTCGTGTTAACCGTTCGGGGGCTGAGAGGGGGGGGGGTAGATCCGCAATCATGGAGACTTGGGACGTCGTCGCCGAATCGATTTAGTGTTGATTAGTGTCGGATAGTGTCCTATCGTGCCCGCCGCTTCCAGGTCGATCCCCCCCCGGGGGGGATCGACCCGGAAGCGGCGCGGCACCGCCGACGGAGCGGCGGCGGCCCCCCGACGGCGAGACGCCGAAAGGGGGAGCCGTCCCGGGGCCAGGATTTAGGGCGGGCCCGTCCTCCCAAAATACCCCAAGATGGCAAAACGATGCTCAAAACAAACAAACAAAAAAAAACATCCCAAAACTATGTTTTTACAATGTTTGAATATGAAGGGGCCCTGGGACACACAAATAAATACACACAAATAAAAAGATTCCCCATATGTTCCCATATTTTCTGGGTTTTTGTCTTCCCCACCACTTCCCATTTTTTCCTATATTTTCCAGGAAATCGAAAATTAATTGTGTCTGTGTGTTTCTTTCCCTCCTGAGAATACTCCTCCTGTAGAGGAGCAGGCCTGACTTAAGGCCGGGAGCAGGGCGGCCAGGCCCAAAAATCTCCGCGGGGAGCACGGGCGAGCTCGGGTCGAGGCGAGGCCTCCCCTGAGGCTATCTGGGGCCCGCGGCGGCACCCCCGAGATGACGAGGCGAACAGAGGAGGAGGAGGGGGAGGGGGAGGGGGAGGAGGAGGAGGAGGAGGAGGAGGAGGAGGAGGAGGAGGAGGAGAAGGAGGAGGAGGAGGAGGAGGCGGAGGAGGAGGAGGAGGAGGAGGAGGAGGAAGAGGGAGGGGGGGGGCAAACCCGCTCCAGCCGCGAGGGATGGTGCGCAGCTCACCGCCGAACTGAAGGAGGGTGAGAATGATGAGAGCGGAGAGGATCATGCTGAACCCACAGGCGTAACGCCCAGCCATTCGCCAGCGCGGCGCGGGCCCCCACATCTCTCATTCGGACAGCGGGGCGGGCGCGACAAAGAAGCGCGGGCAAGGCAAGGGACTGAAACGGGCAGGACAGCAAGGAGTCGAGGAGCGAGAAGGGGGGAAGGGGAAAAGGGAGACAAATATGCCCCCTGCACGGGAACACCTCACCGCCAGCCTGCAGTGCTGGCTCCAGCCGCGTCGACGTGGACGTGGGCGTCCGACACCGTGCAGGCAGCTCAAGCTCAAGGCTGCTCCTGACTACGTACCAGACCATCCCAACCCAACCCGAGGAGGAGGAGGAGGAGGAGGAGGAGGAGGAGGAGGAGGCGAGAGGAGAGGAGGAGGAGGAGGAGGAGGAGGAGGAGGAGGAGGGAGGAGGAGGGAGGAGGAGGGAGGGGAGGGAGGAGGAGGAGAGGAGGAGGAGGGAGGAGGAGGAGGAGGAGGAGGGAGGAGGGAGGAGGAGTGGAGGAGGGAGGAGGAGGGAGGAGGGAGGAGGAGGAGGGAGGAGGGGAGGAGGAGGAGGAGGAGGAGGAGGAGAGGGAGGGAGGAGGAGAGGGAGGAGGGAGGAGGGAGGAGGAGGAGGAGGAGGAGGAGGAGGAGGAGGAGGAGGAGGAGAGGAGGAGGAGGAGGAGGAGGAGGAGGAGGAGGAGAGGAGAGGAGGAGGAGGAGGAGGAGGAAGGAGGAGGAGAGAGAGGAGGAGGAGGAGGAGGAGGAGGAGGAGGAGGAGGAGGAGGAGGCGGAGGAGGAGAGGGAGGAGGAGGGAGGGGGGAGGAGGGAGGGGGAGTAGGGGAGGAGGAGGGAGGAGGAGGAGGAGGAGAGGAGGAGGAGGAGGAGGAGGAGGAGGAGGAGGAGGAGGAGGGAGGAAGGATGAGGAGGAGGAGGAGGAGGAGGAGGAGGAGGAGGAGGAGGAGGAGGAGGAGGAGGAGGGGGAGGAGGGAGGAGGAGGAGGGAGGAGGGAGGAGGGAGGAGGGAGGGATGAGGAGGAGGAGGAGGAGAAGGAGGAAGAGGAGGAGGAGGAGGAGGAGGAGGAGGAGGGAGGTCCCGGATTTCTGGTGGGGGAGGGAGCGTACAGGCTCCAGCTGTGTTTCTCCCTGTTCTGGGGCGCCCCCCCCCACAGTGGGAATGGAGGGCAGCTTGGGGCCTTCGGGTTGGGCTGGGGTGGTTTTGTGTCTACCATCAAAAACCCTAATAAGGACGCGCGGTAAGGACGCAAGACCCTTGGAAGCCGAAGTTGGGATTTTTGGGGCGGCGGACGACGAAAACCTCAAGGACGCAAGAGCAAGGAAGAGCAAGGACGCAAGGGTACCCTGAGCAAAGTCGCGCGTCCTCATTAGGGTTTTTGACTGTAGTGGGTACGGCAGGCTCGTGTCGTGCCGACTCCCGCGTTGGTTTCTGACACCGCGGGGACCGTTCAAACTTTAGCGAGCAGCCGTTTCCGAAACGTCCAAATCGGTCCACATCGAACGATTCTGGGTGGCCCGCGGCGTTCAAAACTGCACGCCACTGCCGGGGTCGCCGCCGGTCGACACGACACGAACCTACCGTAGTGAAGCCCGCGCCAGCGTCGCCGCCGCGCAGGGGCGGCGCCAACCTGTCGCGCTGCAGACTGGCCGCCGGGCGGAGGGAACACACGCAACCAGACGCCAGGTGCGACCCGGTACGGCTCGGCAGCGAGGGCGTGAGCGCGCTGGCGCAGATACGACGAAACCGGGACGAGGATAACATCGGGCGAGGATAAATCGAGAATCGCTGGAATCCGGCGGCCCTGGAGGATGTCTCCGGCGCCGCGGCCTTCTCAAAGTGTTCCGGACCGCTCTGAGAGCGTTCCGGAACGCTCTGGAACGGATCTGTCCTCGTCCTGGCCCCGCCCGAGCAGAGGAGGCTGGATACATGCTCGGCAAGACTCCTGAGGAAGGTGCTTGGTTGGTTTCGGGTGGAGCCTTCAAAGACCTTGGAACAAGTCTTCCCGCGGAGGGTTTTGAGCAGCTTCGAGGAGGAGACCCTCCCGAAGCCCGAGGCGAAGGTTCCTGGAAGGCCTGTTCTCTGAGGCAGCCTCCGGAGACGCCCTCCGAGGAACCTGGCGTTACGGCCGGCCCCGCCGCGCCCCGCGGCCTCGCTCCGCTGGGCGTCGGCGTGGCCCGCGGCGGCCGGGGGCGCCAGGTTGTCGGCCCGGACCTTGATGAACTCCCCGGAGTGCGCTCCGCCGGCCCCCCCCCCCGCAAGCACGGAGGCGTGCGCTCTCCTCCCCCCAGGGGGGCGGGCGGTGTCGCCCCGGATCCTCTGCACACTGCTCTCCTCGCGAGGCCCCAGGAGAGTGGGCGGGGAGGCAGCAGGGAGGAGGGGAGGGGGCGGGGAGGGCAGGAGGACGAGGAGGAGGCAGGAAGGAGGAGCAGGGAGGACGGCGGGGGGAAGGACTCGTTGTTCCCGTGCGCCGCCGCCAACCAAGCTCCAGAACGCAGCAGAATGAGGGGCGTTCCCTGGGAGAGGAAAACATCCAACTCGACCAACTGGACGCTGCCTTTGACGCCGGCAGCCCTTTGACCAGCCGCTGCGACACCTCAAACTGGCACTTGGTGACAGCGAATGGGCCGATGGTGGCAGCAAGGCAGGGCTCCCGCTGCTCCCACTGGGTGCGGGCGAACTACTCCCAGGCGCAACATTATCCGCAGAAATGGGAAGTGCTCTCAGCCCACAAAATTGGGAGGCTTAGAAATGGGCACCAACACCAACACCGAGGGTTGCCTCCACCAGGGGAAGGTGATCCCAGTTTTTGGTGTTGGTGGTAATATTTCGGCCACCTTGGAAGTCCGAATATTACCACCATCACCGTCATCGGGATCATCGTCCTTCGGTGGAGGCATATCGCCGATATTAGTGTTGGTGTCAACCTCTAGGCCTCCGAAAAATGTTGAATTGGGGAGTGGGCGTGACTGGAAACCCACGGGGCGGCCCGCTGGGGCCGCGGATCCAACACGAGCCTCCTGCGCAGGGGTGCCGCCCCTCGGGGGCAGGGGCCGCCTCGGCCGGGGCGCCCCCTTCATGCTCCGAGCCGACCTTTGGGTCGGGCATGTCCTCCTACAGGCGGGCCTTGCACGAAAAATGAAAAATCGAGAAAAGAGATTCGAACCTATGCAAAAACAGTCGACAGATCGCCCTCGCACTATATTTGCATGTCGTTGGACACTCCTCCTGCAGAGGGGCATGGCCGATCTTAGCCTACCCCGCGCCCTCCCCGCCATCAGTAGCAGGGCAAACAGAGCGAAGGCGGGCGCGAAGCGAAGGCGCAGCATCCGAAGCCGTGGCCTTGCAAAAACCGCATCGTCCAGGAACCCCGATCCAGGCCACAGGAACGGGAGGCACCCGACAACGCTGCGGCGATCCAACGCCGACTTCTCCGGACCAGATCGATGGGCTGTTTGCTGCGGCAATGAGCAGGCTCGGCCATCAGAGCCGCACGCTGAAGGGTGATGGCAGCATTGCGTTTCAAAATGAAATAGGCCTGATGGGTAAGGTCACCTCAACCACACACAACCGCATCCGACACCTGGCACTCGGCCGCCCGATGGTCGGCCAGCCCGTCAGCAACTGAGCTAAGCACCGCGAGGTCTTAGCCGACGGAGTCAACACACCGGGAACGCTGTCGATCGTGCCCCAGCACGCGACTGGGCACGCGTGCCGGAGGGAACAAAAATACGACGCTTGCCGACTGGGGCCCTGAACTCCCACCAGAAAACAAAGTGAACAAGCTTGGACGAGGCAACCTTGCTTGCGAGAAGCCCAATTTAATCACATTGGCATGGTCAGAAACTATGTGCAAGTCCCGCGTAGACTCCACGGACGCAGTACATACAAAAATTCCCGCAAACTCAGCACAGAGCACGGTCTGACGCACACAATCCAAAATGTAAGTGGTTCCACAAGCCCACTTCCCGAAGTGAGAGAAGCTCTGTTAGGGCCTAAGAGGAAGGAGCTTCGAAAGGAGAGTTTACTGCAACATCGTTGGTGGGCCTTGGGTTTACACTGGTCCTTGTCCTTCTCCTCCTTCCTTCCGCAGCGGAGCGACCGCCGCCCCCTGCCCGTCGCCCCTGCCCCGCGCGCTGGCGGGCGCTTCGCGTCGCGGGCGGACGGCGCGGGAGCCCCCCGGACCACCAGGGGGCCCCGTTCCCGACTTCTGGGGGAGGGGGGCAGGGGAAGGCCACCTGTCCGCCCCACCCCCCGGGGCCGTAGAGAGACCGGGGAAGGGGCAAAGAGAGCGGCCACGCCACTCAAACGTTCGTGCTGCTGCTACCGGCAATGGTCTCTGATAGGCAACGGCGTGTTCGAAATAGGTGTCCGCGAGGCTGAGGTCGGACGACGATTGCCAGCGTACCAGCTGCACCAACTGTGCAGCGCAATGAACGCACGACGCAGTAGCAGTATGCGCAAGTAGGTACTCGGCATAAAGCAAAGTACTCGTATGCTGGAGTACCGTAGCCAGCGGCTTCTGGTAGGCTAGCCTCACCGTGCCTATTGCGCAATCCAGTCGTAAACTACATCGAAGAGGCTTTCGTCCTGGAGCACGTCGAAGAACAAGTTGGCCACCCCTGCTTGGCCCTTAGAGGCTGCGAGATCTCACAAGCGCCCGAAAACGTAGTCATCGTAGTCAGTTCGCCTCAAATCTTGATACTGGTAGGCCCGAACCGTCTTTTGGCACATGATGGCGAGCCGTTCCTTGGGGTGCTTGTCGATGGGTTCGACGTTGGTACTCTTGACGCTGATTGCCACCGATCCCGATCGGGATGCTCAGCGCTCCGCAATGATATCCCACGCGCCCGAGGTACTCTCGAGGCCTTTGTGGCGACCCTGGCCTGTGAACCCGATAATTCGGGCTGGCACCCCTTGTCGTCGTCTTGCGTGCTCGGGCACTTCGACTTGTCCTTGTGGCCCGGCTAGTTCGGCCGGTGGCTCTCGTAGCTCGGGTGGTTGCCCTCGTCGCTCCTCCGGTGGTCCTCGTATCTCTGCCGGTGGCACTCGTACCTCAGCACGGGGCCCTCGTAGCTCTGCGCGCGGGCCTCTTAGCTCACCTCGTTGCCCTCGTACCTCAGCTGGTGGCCCTCGTATATGAGCTGGTGGCGCTCGAAGCTTTTGTTCGTGGCCTTTGTACTTCAGCTCGTCGCCCTGATAGCCCTGCGGGTTGCTCTCGCAGCTCCGCGCGTGGCCCGCGTAGCACAGCTAGCCCTCGCAGCTCTGTTTGTGGCCGTCGTAGCTCGGCTGGTGGCCCCCGTGGCCCTGCTTGCAGCCCTCGCAACTTAGCGCGTGGCCCACGTAGCTGAGCAGGTGGTCACCGTAGCTCTGCTGGCGGGGCTCCCCTTGCTCAGCTGGTCCTCGTAGCGCAGATCGTGGCCCTCGTGGCTCAGCTGTTGCTCTCGAGGCTTTGTCCGTGGCCCTCGAAGCTCTGCTCGCGGCCCTCGTGGCTCAGCGCGTTGCCCTCGCAGCTGCAGCTCTGCAGGTGGCCCACCTGGCTGAGCTGGTGGTCCTCGTGGACTTGCCTGTGGTCCTCGTAGCTCAGCGCGTGGTCCTAGTTGCTCTGCCTGTGGTCCACGTAGCTCTGCTGGTGGCTCTCGTAGCCCAGCGGGCGGCCCTCGTGGCTCCACCGACTGCCCATTTAGCTCGGCTGGTGCTCCTCGCAGAACTGCTTATGGCCCTCATTCATAACTTTGCGCGTGGCCCTGGTAGCTCAGCCGTTGGTCCTCGTAATTCGCCCTGCTGGTGGCTCTCCACAACCAGTTGGTGGCTCTTGAGGCTCAGCTGGTGGGCCTCGAAGCTCTGTTTTTTGCCGTCGCAGCTCTGCCAGAGGCCCTCGATGTTCAATCGGTGACCCTCGAAGACCTGCCTTTTGCCCATGAAGCCCTTCTGGTGGCCCTCGAGGCTCAGGCAGCTGCGTTTGAGGCTCTGCTTCGTGCCGTCGAAGCTTTGCTGGAGGGCCTCGAAGCTCTGCCGGTGGCCCTCGAGAAACCTTCATGGTGGGCGGCGGGATGAGAAAGCCGCGCGCGGTGTAGTCGTCGTAGCCGTTGTAGTAGTCGTTGTACACGGCGTAGGCGTCGTAGCCGTCATCGTCGTAGACGGCGTAGCCGTGGTTCACCTGTATCTCCACGACGATGTACTTTGTAATTTTTTCGGGCTGCTTGGTCGTGCCGCGCCTGGCGTCGTATTTTGTGTTGCCGTACTTGGTGTCGTACTTTGTGCCGCGTGTTGTGTTGCATTTTCTGTCGTACTCGGACGCCATCGCGACGGCGGCCGTAGCAATGACAATGGTGTCGCCGGATCGCGATTGTATCCCATGTCGGAAGTTGTGCCCCACTCGTTTTTGGGCCGCGTCTGTTCGCGCCTGTACTCTTCTCTGCGTGTCTGGTCTCGGCATCCTCCCGCGCCAGTAGGACTCCACCCGGGTGGGTCGGTCTCGTAGTCTGGGCTGCTGTTGATCTCGAGCGAGTTCACGTCGATGCTGATGATGGTTGCGTGGATTTCAATGGCACCACGCTGATTCTGGTGGTGCTCCAATGAATCGTAATGTATTCCACGTGGGTCGTGAAGTACTTTGCGGCGAACGTATCGCACGGCGCGCCGGCCACCGCGTGGCGGACGGCGCGCTCGGGCCGGCCCCCCCTGCCGCGGGTGGGGACGAGCATCTGTGCGCAAGGGGCCACAATAGATTTTGTTTGTTCCTCCTCCTCCCCCTCCTCCACCTCCTCTTCCTCCTCCTCCTCCTCCTCCTCCTCCTCCTCCTCCTCCTCCCTCTCTCTCCTCGTCTCTCTTTTCTCCTCCTCACCACTTCCCCTCCTCCTCCTCCTCCTCCTCCTCCTCCTCCTCCTCCTCCTCCCTCTTCCTCTCCCTTCCTACTCCGTAGCCATTTGCCTCAAGTCTGCCTCAAGCACAGAGGCCCCGAGGCGCGTGTCGTAACCATTTGGGCTCACACTTGCCATGGAACTCTCAGCTCCCTGCCTCCACGTCGGCGCTTGAGGGGCACTGGCTAGCATCCTTTCGTCTTTGTATTGATAGTGTGGGGCTGTCTGTGGAGGAGACGATCCCTCTTGGGGGTTGCCCGATGATCTGTGGTGTTTGCTCATCATGGAATAAGGGCCGCATCGAGCCGATTTCACCTCAGCTGAACTTGTGTCAATATATACGGTCTTGGACAGCTATCCCAGTGGCTAAACGGAGCAAGTTTCGCTCGATGTTTGGTGTGGTTCTTCCTGGGAGCCGCCACACAGCATTTCCTCATGATTTGCAGCGTATATTAT